GATAGATAGATAGATAGATAGATGGATGATAGATAGGAAGGAAAGAAGAAAGAAAGAAAGAAAGAAATTTTTTATTGGCCAAGTGTGATTGGACACACAAGGAATTTGTCTTTGGTTCATACGCTCTCAGTGTACATAAAAAAACGATACATTCGTCAAGAATCATAAGGTACAACACTTAATGATAGTCATAGGGTACAAATAAGCAATCAAATCATACTAGGAAACAGATAAATAAATAGAAGATAGATAGATAGATAGATAGATAGATAGATAGATAGATAGATAGATAGATAGATAAGATATTTATTGTATTTATTGGTTCAATTTATATGCCGCCCTTCTCCGGAGACTCAGGGCGGCTTACAATGCGTTAAGCAATAACCTTCATACTTTTTGTATATAAAATGTCATTGGTGCATGCGTTCTCAGTGTACATAAAAAGAAAAGATACGTTTGTCAAGAATCATAAGGTACAACACTTAATGATAGTCATAGGGTACAAATAAGCAATCAGGAAACAATATCAGTATTAATCGTTAGGAATACCAGCAACAAGGATAAGTCCTAAGTGGGAGGAGATGGATGATGGGAACGATGAGAAGATTAATTGTAGTGCAGACTTAATGAATAGTTGGACAGTGTTGAGAATTATTTGTTTGATGGCGTTCGGGGAAAAAACTGTCCTTGTGTCTAGTTGTTCTGGTGTGCAGTGCTCTATAGCATCGTTTTGAGGGTAGGAGTTGAAACAGTTGATGTCCAGGATGCGAGGGGGTCTGTAGATACTTTCCCAGCCCTCTTTTTGACTCTCGTGCAGTATACAGGTCCTCCATGGAAGGCAGGTTGGTAGCCATGGTTTTTCTGCAGTTCTAATGATCCTCCGAAGTCTCTTTCTGTCTTGTTGGGTTGCAGAACCAAACCAGACAGTTATGGAGGTGCAGATGACAGACTCAATCATTCCTCTGTAGAACTGGATCAGCAGCTCTTTAGACAGTTTGAGCTTTCTGAGTTGGCACAGAAAGAACATCCTTCGTTGTGCTTTTTTGATGACATTTTTGATGTTAGTCAAGAACTTTCCTTCAAGATTGATTTAATGGTGTGTTGTTGTTGTTTTCCTCCCGGTCATATTGTTAATGGTACATTTGATGCTCGCTAGAAGATAACGTCCCGCTGCTGGCGCATAGAATATAATCAGATCCTCAAGATTTTATCTTACTTCATTTAAAGCAGATACGGGCATTTCTGCCACGGTTATGTGCAGTGTGGGGTTTCAGTTGCGTAACTCTAGACCTAGAATTCTGTTGAGAAAGCAAACTTTCGAAATATAGTTTGGACCATCAGGTAACTCCTCTCTTAATGCCGCCACCGTTCTTATCCGCTCGTCAAAAAAAGCTTTATATCAGATTTTCCCAGAAATGCTAGTTGAATTCTTGGGACGTCTGGTTTACACATTCGGTGACACCTGGTGCAGGTTTGAGTTCGTGAAATCCTTAGATTGGCTTTTTTTTTTTTTTTTTTTTGTATAGGGAATGGCCAGATTTCTGGGGAAGGGTGGTTTGAGGAAAGGCATGCTTTATTTCAGGCCTAAAAATTTGTATTTATAAAATAAGTTAAAATAGCCCTTTCTTCGCAGAGTTAGGCAAGCGTTCTTTAGGCCTTATGGCTGACCCCAAGCCTCCTATCTTTTTGTAAGGAGCTAAAGACGAGGCTCTGCAATGGAAGTGGTCCATTGAGTAATAACAGATCCCACCTCCTCCCCCCCTCAAATCTGCCCCTGCCCTGCCTGCCCTGCCCTGCCCTGCCCTGCCCTGCCTGCCCTGCCCTGCCCTGCCCTGCCCATGTGTCCTTGGTTTTAATGTCTGCTTTGAACTTTTTAAGTTTTAACTGTATATATAACTGGAAACCTCCCAGAGTTACCCTGTGGTAAGATTTGCAGCCAATAAATTAGATAGATAGATGGATGGATGGATGGATGGATGGATGGATGGATGGATAGATAGATGGATAGATAAGAGATAGATATATAAATATAAATATAGATAGATAATTGATAGAAGATAGATGATAGATAGATAGATGATAGATAGATAGATGATAGATAGATATGGATGGATATAGATATGCAGCTAATAAATTTGATAGATAGATGGATAGATAAGAGATAGATATATAAATATAGATAGATAATTGATAGAAGATAGATAGATGGAGGGAGGGAGGGAGAGAGAGAGAGAGAGAGAGATGGATGGATGAGTGATGGATGGATATAGATATGCAGCTAATAAATTTGATAGATACACTGCCAATAAATTTAATAGACAGATAGGTGCACACACATATATACATATATACATACAGGCATATAGTCCTGATAAGATTTGTGATAGACAGACTCGTTCATTCATTCATTCATTCATTCATTCATTCATTCATTCATTCATGTAATCCTGGTTTGATTCGCAACCAATCCTGGTTATGTATGTATATATGTATGAATGAATAAATAAATAAATTACTGTAAATAAATAAAGGTAGTCCTCAACTTACGACCACAATTGAGCCCAACATTTATGTTGCTAAGTGAGACATTTGCCCCAATTTACGACTTCCCTTGCCACATTTGTGAAGCGTACCACCGTACTGGCTAAATTAGTCACACGGTTGTTAAGCGAATCTGGCTTCCCCATTGACCTTACTTGTCAGAAGGCCCTCAAAAGCGGATCACACCTTGACTCCGGGACGCCTGTAAATACGAATCAGTGGTCCAGCATCCGAAGGTAAATTATGTGACACCGAGGGGGGGTGGAGGAACGCTGCAATGGTCCTAAGTGTGGGAAAAAAAAAAACAGCCATAAGTCACTATTTTCAATGCCCGTTGCAACTTTGAACGGTCACGAAACAAACCGTTGTAAGTCGAGGGCTCCTGGCAAATACCCTGATTCTTTGACGAAGGGAGCAGAAGAAGGCGACTGGAAGGAAGGCAATTTGTGGTCCCAACGTCTTTGGGAATCGTCCATGCCTCTGAGCAGTCGTCGGGAGAAATGTGTGAATGGCAACTGTCTCTGAGAAGGTTTGGAAACTCCCTAACGGTTGCGGTTTCCTGTAGTGCCTTGCGAAGAGCCAGAAAAATCCTTCCTTTGGCTCTTCCTCTTGAGAAAGTTGGTCTTCCCTGGGATGCCAGCTCTTGTTTGCTTAAAAACCCTCCAGCCTCGCTTGCCAGCGTCTTCCCATCGCTCAGGGGTGGCTTACATCCGTGGAAAGCCACAAATCCTGCGTAAAAGGCACAGAAAGCAACAGCAGGAAATATCAGAAGGGAGCTGAGCAGATGAAATAAATGCCTGCCATTAAAAAAAAAAAATCCTCTGCTTGACAAGACACACACGCACACACACACACACACACACACACACACACACACACACACACACACAGGGGCTGGCTCTCCGGGAGATCGGGAAAGATTTAAGCAAGCGAGGGTAAAATAAATAGGACCGAGGGAGGGGACATTGCGAGGGAAGAGAGCATCCCACAGACACTGTGAAGGATTTTATTCTTGGATTCATTATTTAGCCATTTGTCTGGCATGTTATAGGGCAGTGATGGCGAACCTTTTCAGTGTGCTGAACAGGGAGCGCACAACACGCTTCTGGGCCGCAACTTGGAAGAGGAGCTACAAAATGTGGGCTGGGGCCACAAAACATGCGTTTCGTCAACATGGCGTCAGGCACGAAGAATCGGGACTATACATTACGTTCGGGTCTGGTATTCACTTACCTTCGCTACCAGTTCGCAAATGTGAGCGCATGTGCACCGTCACTTTGCTAGTACGCACCACTTCCGCGCATGCGCAGGACCTTCCGCACATGGGCAGAGCGTCAAAAACGGGACATGATGACGTCTGGGCAGGTGGGCGGAGCCTCCCTCACCGCCGTCGCTACCGATTCGCCCAAACCGGCTGAATACCACCACTGGTTACATTGCAGTTAAGATTGATTGCCAAAGCCTGTACCCAGGAATCTGGTTCATTAACATTCAAAAGTAAATTGACGCTAGACAAAGAGCCGGTGGAATTGAAGAATTTAACAGTAATAGTTGGAAGGGACCTTGGAGGTCAACTAGTCCAACCCCCCTTCTCACGCAGGAGACCTGTACGAGGGATTCGAACCGCCGAACTGCCAACTTTTCTGATCGACAAGCTCAGCGTCTTAGCTGAGGGGTTGGAGCTAAGACTGTTTGTGGGAATATTAAGGATTCTAGGCCGATGACTTGCTTCACTCCACCTCCCAGCTCGGCCCGCTTTTCTTCTGCACTCAGGATCACAATTCATGTTCTCAAGCTCTTTGGGGAGTTTATTACATGCTATGGATCCACAGGATGAGAATCCCTACCAATCTTCTTCTTGAGCTCCCCTCCCCCTCCCCAAATGTTCCCCAAAGGAGTGTTGCATACAACATAAAGCTACTAAATAACTCTGGAATTTGGGGGCCAATTCAACCCTCCGGGGTGGTTGATTGGAATCCTGGGGTGGGTGGGGGGGGAAAGTGCTCTCACAACGGCTGCCGTTTTCCATTTTATCTATTCTTCGTACCCTTTGCAACTTCGAGGAGGGATGGCAGGAAGCAGTTGTTGGAGAAAGCGTGATTGTGGAAATGGATTCATAGTGAGGGAAAAGGAGTGTGTTATACCTTACACGTGCCGTGTATGCTCCTATACCTGGGATGGCGAACCTATGGCACGGGTGCCACAGGTGGCACGCGGAGCCATATTTGAGGGCACACGAGTGTTGCCCTAGCTTAGCTCCAGCACACATGTGCCCGCCGTCCAGCTGATTTTCGGGCCTTCCGGGCCCACCGGAAGTTGGGAAATGGGCTGTTTGTGGCCTCCGGAAGGCCGTTTTTGCCCTCCCCAGAAAGAAAGAAAGAAAGAAAGAAAGAAAGAAAGAAAGAAAGAAAGAAAGAAAGAAAGAAAGACAGACCAACTCAAGAAAATTTGAGACTTACTTGCGGACTTTCATGGCCTCCTCGTTGTCAGGACGGAAGAAGTTGTAAGAGCTGTAATGTTTCACAGCCTCCCGGCGATACTCGCCCACATTAAACACTGCCAAAGCAGATGAAGACGTCAATCAAGCTTCTTATAAAACTTGTTGTGCCCTCTTCAGAATTCCTGGGGGTGGTTCCCCATCCAGATTTGATCCTGCCTGGCCTGATCCAGAGACCACCTAGGCCTGCTAGATGCTGCAGCCAAGCTGGGATCATGGTTTATACACCCACAGGATCCACTCTTGGACATTAAGAGCACCCCACTTCAATAACTGTCGCCACACATATTCCATACATAGGCAGGTAGTCCTCGACTTACAACGGTTGGTTTAGGGCAGAGGTCTTCAAACTTGGCAGCTTTAAGACTTGTGGGCTTCAACTCCCAGAATTCTCCAGCCAACTATGCTGGCTGGAGAATTCTGGGAGTTGAAGTCCACAAGTCTTAAAGCTGCCAAGTTTGAAGACCTCTGGTTTAGGGACTGTTCAAAATTGCAATGGAACTGAAAAAAGTCCCTTATGACCGTTTTTCACACACTTACGACCACTGCAGCATCCCCATAATCACATGATCAAAATTCAGACGCTTAGGAACCGACTCACACTTATGACGGTTGGAGTGTCCCGTGGTCACGTGATCCCCTTTTGCGGCCTTCCAACAAGCTAAGTCACTGGGGAAGCCAGATTCACTTAACAACCGTGTGACTTAGCTAATAATAGCAGCGATTCACTTAACAACTGTTAACTGCGAGAAAGGTCGTAAAATGTGGCAAAACTCCCTGATTGTCTCACCTAAGAATCGAAATGTTAACCTCAACGGTGGTCATAACTCGAGGACTACCTGTATCCCCTCAGGTTGAAGGCCTCAAACCTGACGCTCGCAAGCATTTTGATTTCGCACCACCCATTTAAAAAAAATGATTCGCCTCAGAGCTCACCTTTCGTCGGCACGCCAATCCAGTTGAGGTAGCGGGTTAGTTTTTTGGAAATGTAGGTTTTCCCGCGAGCCGGCAGTCCAACCATCACGATTACGGTGGGGGAATTGGTGAGCTGCGGACCACATACTGTAGGAAGAAAGGCAGAAAGAAAGAAAAAAAGATAAGTTAAAAAACTTTTTTAGGGAGAGATGGGTTTGATATTCCACAATAATGTCGAATGTATACATAAGGAGTGGTACGGTGGCCTAGAAGTGGCACTCTCGCCTCACAATCAGGAGGCTGTGAGTTCGATCCTAGGTAGAGGCAGGTATTTCTCTCTCTGGGCACAATGAGGATATATCTGCTGAACAAAATTCCGCACTGGCGATAGGGAAGGCATCCGGCCAGTACACAATCTGCTAGCTCCATTCAGTTGCCCAGACTCAACCCCGCAAGGGATTTTAGGGGTCATTAAAAGATTATGATGAGGATGAATGTCATCGTTAAATGATGATGATAATGATGAATGTTGAATATATACATACCCAAACATAATTAAATAGCAAAAAAAAGAGGAAGTTTGGTGAGCTGAAATGATCTAAAAGGCTCACTTGCAAATGGACAAGGCTACTACTAAAAATCCAAACTCTTCATCTTGGTGAACAGCTGTAAACAGGGTGGATTTGATTTAAATCGAGTTGATTTAAATCACAATTTAAATCATGATTTAAATCACTAGTAAAAAGGCTTGATTTAAATCAACTTGATTTAAATCATAATTTTTAAAGAGCAACTGTCATCTCTGCTACTCCTTTGACCCACTGTTGACTCACCGACAGTCCCAGCGTTGCAGAATATACAGCCTCATGCTACATAACTAAGCTCCATTTCATGCTGAATAAGCTAAATTATTTATGTATTTTAAATAGATAACTATGTTACGATAGATTTTTACCCCAAAAGTTTTTTTATTAAAATAAATTTGATAAAAATAAAAAAAATCCAATTTAAATCAAAAAAATCTGATTTTTTTTGATTTTTTAAAAAAAAATCATTGATTTTTATCCACCCTGGCTGTAAATAATGCCACAGGTTCACAGCCTCAGTCTTCCTTATCCACAGAATGGGGCTAATGCCACAAATAACACAGAACAGGTTGATAAACAGCAAGCACCTGTTAGATCTGGCAAAAAGAATTGCCTTGTGGAGAAGACGGGCAACCAACAAATTTTTAAAAAATAAATAAAAGGCACATTGTGAGTACCATCATGGAAGGACCTACATTTAACCGCACGAATCACGGGATTCCCCAGTTTTAACCTTCTCCCCTCTCCTAATCAAATTCGCTCCACTTAGTCAAAATCAAAATGCAAAATGCTGTTTTGCGGCCTGGAGAATCTTGATCCGAGAGCCTTGGTCAAGGAAGCTGGTCAAACCACATCCTTTCCTCCTCCCTCTTTAAAATGCAACAAACCACAATGCACCTCGGCGATAAAACATACACCAGAAATGACAACTGCCTGGATATCTTATCATTTTTCTCCACAAGGTTAAGTTTTTAGGCTTCAGCATCGCAAAGCTGAGGCAATTGTCCTAAAATAAACTTTCCAGGCACGATGCATTGGACTACAACTCCCATCAAGCTCAGCCAGGATGGCTGTTGTAATATGCCAGCAATCAGTGTGGCTTAGACCAAGGGTCTCCAAACTTGGCAACTTTAAGACTTGTGGACTTCAACTCCCAGAATTCCCTAGCCAGCAAAGCTAGTCCACAAGTCTTAAAAGTTGCCTGGCTGGGGAATTCTGGGAGCTGAAGTCCACAAGTCTTAAAAGTTGCCTGGCTGGGGAATTCTGGGAGCTGAAGTCCACAAGTCTTAAAGTTGCCAAGTTTGAATACCCCTGGCTGAGACTCGTCTTAAAATATTCTTGGGATCTCTAAAGCACCACACAACATACCCACATGGCATTTAAAGGCCCACCCTATCATTCTATAGACCACTGGACTTAAAAACTGATCTTTTTGGAAAAGTTAAGATTTTTTAAAAATCTTTTAGGTTAAGGAAAAAAAAGAGTAACTTGCAATTAAATCTTACCCTGACTACCTTAAGTCTATACTTCCTGTCTTATAAATCTAGATTAATGGCTTTGCTAAACCCAGAACTGCCTTCGAATCAAATGTGAGCCTGTGATTTACATTCTCACTCCATCCAAAAGCTTCTGTGTCCAGTTCAGCCATCCATTCTGAAAAATATGGTATTTTGGCTCCTGTTTCTTGAATGACAAATGAATGTGTCAAGACTGCTAAATATGTTCATTGCTGTCATATTTTTTGACACGGCAATGGCAAAGTGAAGCTGAATCACACAAGGAACGTTGGGACTGCACAATTTGCTTTCATGCATCACGCTAAGCCATAATGTGCTTTATAAACCACGATTCATGGCTTGCAGTAAATTCTGTCGCAGACCTAACAAACCTGGCCTGTAGAGAAGGCGGGCAAGAAACAGTGTGAAAAGGAGTGACGTGAATGAGTATTCCTCGCATGGCTGCATCTAAAGCTTTAAAAGATCAGGAATGGCATTTACTATTCTTGAGTCAATGCTATAAATATTGTTGGATTAGTATATTAAATAACACGAAAAGCGCATGGAATGGAACCCTGTTTTCCACATGGTAATCGAAGGCTACACTACTAAGGTTCGGTGAATGATTTATCGGTGGCAAAACAATAGTGAATAAACAGTGGTTATTGATACCAAGATTTTCTCCTTGGCACTTTAAATAATTTCAAGACAAGAGTTATACGCACATTTAGTGCCGGTCTCCAAAATAAGAACACTTTCTTCCATTTTAGCAAGAAACCTGCTGCAACCAGTAGGAGATTTGCTTGGAATTTGAATAAAACCTGAATATGTGCAGGCTTTAAACCCTCTGGACTTTTGCTCCTTCCAAAATGCAGCTATTTTACAAACCAGCAGTCGCGCTTAAACAAACAAGCAGCTTTATTTGGGAGCAAATCCTTTTATAACAAGGTTAGGAAGAAGAAAAAACCTGAAAGCATCCAAAACCGCCGGTTTCACAGAAAGCATCTTGAATCTTTGCATCAAATAGTAATTTAAAAAAAAAAAAAAAAAAACCCAACAATCCTGTACGAAATGTATTTTGTCCCCTTTACGGTAGATTATGAAGTTCAGAGGTAGACAGACCCCTTTCATGACTAACGGAGCGGATTAAAACACCCTCAAAGTTTACACCCTACAAACGAGACAAGAGAAAATATCAACATTTGAGAGATCGTAAGGGTATGTATGTATGTATGTATGTATGTATGTAGGTAGGTAGGTAGGTAGGTAGGTAGGTGTTTGGTTATTCGGGTTTTCTCCCACGTAAAATTGGAAGCGTCTTGGTGATGTTTCGACGAAGTCTCATTCGTCATTCGTCATCTTCAGGCTGGTGTGACGAATGAGACTTCGTCGAAACATCGCCAAGACACTTCCAATTTTACGCGGGAGAAAACCCGAATACCCAAAGATATATATATATATATAGATAGATAGATAGATAGATAGATAGATAGATAGATAGATAGTTCTTTTTCGTAGGTCTATATGTGCATTACTGTTCTAGCCAGGGTTTTTCCTACGTAAATCAAGATGTTTGTATTGCCATAGTTAAGTGACATCCCATATCACTATTTTCTAGGCTTTATCAGACATTTAAGTAGCATTACCTCAAGTCTTACAGCAGACAACATAATGCTACTTAAATGTCTGATAAAGCCTAGAAAATAGTGATTTGGGATGTCGCTTAACTATGGCAATACAAACATCTTGATTTACGTAGGAAAAACCCTGGCTAGAACAGTAATGCATATATCTATATCTATATCTATATCTATATCTATATCTATATCTATATCTATAACTATATCTATATATGAAGACATTATTGCAATTGCTCAACTCAGACTCAGGAAGATAAAGGGAAGTGTCTATGCATTAGAAACCGTGCAAAGCTTTCGCCCAACCCTGCGTGCAGAGACTCACGCTGCCACTTTCCCCTAACTCCATCCTCAGCCAGCCCTAATGTAAGCTCCAGAGACTCTTACGTGGTGGACGTGCCATCTGGCAGAAAACGAATGGATCGCCCTTCGGAATCCTAGCTGAAGCATCCCTTTGCAGCCGGGGCCCACCTCTTCCCTGGAGGAGGAGCCAGGGGTGAGGAGGTGGCATGCAAAACACACTCACGAATCCAAAGGCATCCAAGGCCAGCTTCGGGGTGCTTGGAAAAGGAGAGAAGCCACGCACCCGCCCCGTTGTGGGTTTTCCATTCTTATTTGCATTGGAGATGCACACAAATGCACGCACGCCAAGGCAGCTATTTGCATCCAAGATAGCTATTTGCAACTCCCCCTCCCCTTCTTCTTCTTCTTCTTTTTTAATTTAAAGCAGCAGATATGTGCTCCTCCTGCAAAGCTGAGTAGAATTTCGCTTAGTTGGCTACCCATTCAGAAAAAAAAAAAATCAAACCCAGAGAACTGAAATACACAAAAGAAGCATCAGGGTAGTGGATCCTGGAAGGATGATTTAAAGACACAAAAGAAAGAATTTCCTTTGTGATTAAGGCCCCCGGGGCTTAAGTGTCTGAGACAGCCCCAATTTGCAAAAAAATATTGGTGAGATTGGCTTCCGAGCTGAGGCTATAGATTTAACAAAACCCTCCAGAGAAAAAAGGACATTTTTTTTTTTTTTTTGCATTCGGACAAGAATACAGCACTTCTACAAGGGATCCGAGATTGTTTTTAAATAACTTGCTTTCGTGGTGGTTCTGAATGCCTAACGAATCTGATGAAAGACTCTAGTTAGAAAACTCATTCTTTTAAAATAAAGTCTCTACGATCTTCAGCTCTTCCACTTTTCCTTCTGTCCTCAAAAGTCCCCCCCCCTACCCAAAACCCACTTACAAAGAGATTATCTGAGTAGCTCAAGGCAATTTTCGAGGAGGAGGAGGAGGAGGAGGAGGAGGAGGAGGAGGAGGAGGAGGAGGAGGAGGAGAAGAAGAAGAAGAAGAAGAAGGAGGAGGAGGAGGAGGAGGAGGAGGAGGTGTTACTACTACTAATCCATGTTAGGTTGATATTTAAATAAACCC